GGGAACTGTCTCTTGTCGCCCACATGCGCAGAACGCTTGTTTGACAGGCGCTGGGGCGAAGCCTTCAGCTTCGCCCTGGAAGCGCCAGGGCCCCTTCTCCAAGTGCCCTTGCCCCTGCCTCGATTAAATCGGCTGGCAGTGGGGCGGGGCAACCTCGGGCCGTCTTGGCCGCCTGCTGGGGCAACCTCGGACCGTCTCGGGCGCCTGTCGACGTCGCGCGCGTTCGAGAGGTGATTTCTTGAAGAAGCGAAATTGTTGTTCATTGCCGACGCGGGGGGCCCGCGTTCAATGCGGAGCACCGCGCTGCAACAACCACGTAAACACTGGCGCGGGGCGACGCGCGTTTTGTTTTCAGAGCATGGCGGGCGCTGAAGCTGAGGCAGGGAAGAGGCGCTTAGAGGAGGGAGAGTACCCTGCAGGCGGCAACGGGCGGCAACGGAACGGAATGCGGCGAGCCCCCGGGGCAGCCCGACAGGCGGCAATGGCAAGCAGCGGGTGGCAACAGGCCAGAATGCGTCGAATCCTTGGAACACACCCGCAGGCGGCATCGGGGCGGCAACGGGTTTCGCGCGATCGCGGGATGGATCGCCAGGCAGCGCAGGGCGCAGAGTGGGGGGGGCGGAGCAGGGGCAGGAGGGGTCGAGCAGAAAAGCCAGGGCTCCTGAATGCCTCTCGGAGTCTCCTCGGTTTTTCCCCCGCCCATCCTGCGGTGTTGGGACCTTGTCTTGAAGAGACGACGCCCCGCGTCTCTTCCTCTCCACCCCTCATCCGCCTCCTGCCTTTGCCCTCCGCGCGTCTCTGCCTCGGCGCGCCCACTGCGGCTTTTCGCTGCCCAGCATAGGGAGTTCCACCGCCGGCCCCGGCGGCGGAACTCGCGCGCGCCCCCCCCCTCCGGCGCAGCGCTTCGCGGCCCCCGTAGGAGTCTCGGCTGAACGCCCCAGCGGCGGAATTCGAACACAGCGTTTCGCGGCCCCACCATGGGGAACTCCATCGATGGCCCCAGCGGCGGAACCCGCATGCGCCCCCCCCCCCGCCCAGCACAACGCATCGCGGCTTCGTGGGGAGGCCCGTGCAAGTCCCAGTGGCGGAGCTCGCGCGCGCGCCCCCCCCCCCTCCCGCCCACCTTGCGCAGCGCCTCGCATCTCCGCCCCACCCCTGCGCAGCGCTTCGCGGTCGCGTAGGGAGCCCCACCGAAGGTTGCAGCGGCGGAACCCGCGCGCGCCCCCCCCCCCCCCCCGCCCAACGCAGCATTTCGTGGCCCAGCAGGGAGCTCCGCCGAAGGTGTCCCAGCGGCGGAACTCGCGTGCGCCTTGCTTTCCACCCAGCACGGCGCTTCGTGGCCACATAAGGGGGGCCCACCGAAGGCCCCCGTGGCGGAACTCGCGTGCGCCCCCCGCTCCAAGCAGAGCCTTTCGTTGCCCCATAGGAAGCTCCACTGAAGGTCCCCGTGGCGGAAGTCACGCGCGCCCCCTTTCTCCCGCCCGGCGCAGTGCGCCGTGGCCCCGCAGGGGACTCACCCGAAGGCCCCAGTGGTGGAGTTCGCCTGCCGCCCCCCCTGCGCCCGGCCAAGTGCAGCGCTGCGTGGCCCCGCGAGGGGCTCCACCAAAGGTCCCAGCGGCGGAGCTCGCGCGCGCCTCCCCCTCCTCCCCGCCGAGCATGGCGTTTCGTGGCCCCGCGGGGAGTTCCGCCGAATGTTCCATTGGCGAAGCTCGCATGCGCCTCCTGGCATGCAAAAATCCGCCGCCGCGCTTGTGCGGCATTGGTTTGTTCAGTGAACGTGGTTTAGGTCGCGGGTGGGTCGCGGGCTCTCCACCTCCACCTGGAATGAATGCAAAAGCAGCCCGCCGCAGGCGCCCAAAACATGTGGTTTGTACCCTGAACGTGGTTTGGGTCGCGAGTTGGTCACGGGGTCGGTGGGTCGCTGGCTCTCCACCTGGAAGGAATGCAAAAAAAAAACCCGCCGCAGGCGCCGAAAATTATGGTTTGTACCTTGAACATGGTTTGGGTCGCGGGTGGGCCGCGGGTTTTTCACCGGGAACGAATGCAAAAAATGCCCGCCGCAGGCGCCGAACAATTCGGTTTGTACCCTGAACGTGGTCGCGGGTGGGCCGCGGGCTCTCCGCCTGAAACGAATGCAAAAGATGCCCGCCGCAGGCGCCGAAACATGTGGTTTGTACCCTGAACGTGGTTTGGGTCGCGAGTTGGTCACGGGGTCGGTGGGTCGCTGGCTCTCCACCTGGAAGGAATGCAAAAAAAAACCCGCCGCAGGCGCCGGAAATTGTGGTTTGTACCTTGAACGTGGTTTGGGTCGCGGGTGGGTCGCGGGTGGGTCGCGGGGTAGGTCGCGGGTGGGTCGCGGGTGGGTCGCGGGTGGGTCGCGGGTGGGTCGCGGGTGGGCCGTGGGGTGGGCCGCGGGCGGGTCGCGGGGTGGGTCGCGGGGGGGGTCGCGGGGTGGGTCGCGGGGTGGGTCGCGGGGTGGGTCGCGGGGTGGGTCGCGGGGTGGGTCGCGGGTGGGCGGGTCGCGGGGTGGGTCGCGGGTGGGTCGCGGGTGGGTCGCGGGGTGGGTCGCGGGGGGGGTCGCGGGGGGGGTCGCGGGGCGGGTTGCGGGTGGGACGACGACAACAAACAACAACAAACAACAACAAACAACAACAAACAACAACGAGAATCTGCACCGCGGAATTTCACTTTTGCCACGCACCCAGGGACAGTGAATGACCGTTCGGCGCCCTCACTCTGATGAAAACGACGGCCTGGCCGAGGTGCCACCAAAACGTCCGCCCAAAATTCGCTGGGGTTACTCGGGCCACTTTCTGGGAAAAGCATCGGCCCTGGCCGCGCACATTCCCTGGGCCCCTCCGGCGCCGATGTGGCGACGGGCTCGATCCTGCCAGGTTTTCCACCGCAGTGCAATCGTGGACCCTTATGGCGCGCGCCGGGGGCCCCGCGGAACAGGCGCTGCGAGGGCGAGGCTGCGGGGGGGTCATATTCGGCCCTGCAGTTTCTGCATATCCGAATTTCCGCGGCGAACTTTGGGTGAACCCGTTTTTAATTTTGAGCTAAGCCAGCGGGCGAAACCAACAATTTCAACTTTTTGTCGCCATGTCCACGTCACGACACCAGGCTGAACGCGCGCGAGAACAGTCAAGGCGACACATGCCGATGCTGCGGGGAAAAGGGCCATTTGCACCATGGGATCTATGAGTGCCCTGTCTAGCGCACGCACGCTGGGGGGAGCCCCCTGCTTTTCTCGGGAAGACTGCCGGGGGGGCCCGTAGCGAAAGCGAGGCCCAGGGGGAGTTGCTCGGCAGATGCCTTTGCGCCTGTCCCCGCTAGTGCGCTTCCCGGGGGGGGGGCCTGTTGAGTGGCGTTTCGCGGGAGATGCGTTCGTTGATGGGTCAGCCTACCACGCCCCGGTACCAGGCATCTGCCGCGGTGCTTTCTCGATTGGTCAGATTGGCCCGGCAGGCGCTGTTGCAGGAGCTTGCCGTGGGATCTTGCCCCTGCACGTTGCCCCGCTGCGGCAGGCGAGGGGCGGGGGTGGCGTGGTCTTCCCTTTTTCAGCTGCCCGCTGCGAGCGGGGCGGGCCCTCGCAATCCACTGCGCGCGCGTTCAGACTGCACCGCTTCCGTTTCGCGTGCCCGGGCCTTTTTCAGTTATATATATATATATATGTATACACATACAAAATGTCTTTATCTACATATGCATGTATATATCTATGTATGTATGTATATATACATATATATATATGTATATGTGTTTGTATGTGTGTTTTTGTATGCGTATATATCTATAGAGAGAGGCATTGTTGCGCAGGCCAAACAGCCTTTCTGGGGGTTTGTTGCGTGGGCCATCGCGCTCCTGCTACTAAGGTGCAGAGTTGCCAATCAGAGGCCAACTCGCGCTCGGACCATCAGATTTGGATGATCCGAGGCAATGCAGCTGCTGGCACACATGTCAAGTTAGTAGCCTATCTGTGGCAGACCCCGCCGCGGCAAGTTTTGTACATGTGGCGTCTTGAGAGCATGGCAGTTGTGGCCACCAGATGGCACGCGAGGGTCCAGCAAGTGTTTGGGGACTTGGGCCTCTTGGGCCCTCGGGGTTTTGTTGGGACTTCGGATGCCACTGTGGAGCTTGACTCAGGACTGGGGCGGCCTTCGCGAGGTTTGTTTAAAGGTGGTGCGAGGCGATCGCGTGTGTGCGCGCGTGCGCGTGCGTGGGTGAGCGGGGGGCCAGCTTGCCAGGTGTTGTACAATTTCCCAGCCACCTCCGCCCCCTCACCCGCCACCCGATGGGTGTGTTGTCTTGGCCCCGGGGACCCCTTGGAAATTGAATGGCCATAGTGTTGCGCAGGCGGGCCTCCTCAGTGTCGAAGGCGGGCGATGCTGTGCTCTTTTGTGCGTTTTGTGGGTCTCTCTCTATGTTCCGCCAGGTCAGGAGGGGTGAGGGCCTGGATGGCTTGTGTCAGGGGCCCTCGGCTATTGGATCGCGGACCTAGGGGTCCAGGCTGCGTTTTTTGTTGTTGCTTTTTTCCCCCGTGGCAGACTGCAGGCTCGGATCGGCGCCGCGTTAGGTCCGAGCGCCGCGCTGGTTAAATAATCATGGACAAAGAGGTTGCCGTCTCTCGCCTTCGAAGAGGCAGGTGCCGCTGCCTTTGGTGCCCAAGACGGACCGTCCCTCCGCCCCATTGCTGCTGTTGTTGTTGATGCTGATGCCGCTTCGCACGGCCTCCTCGGCCGCAGGGCCAGGAGGTCGCTAAGTTGCACGGGTTGGACTCGCCGACCGTTGTTGTAGAGTTTGTTCAGTGTTTCGGGCGCGTTCGTGTCAGAGTTTCCCCGGATGAGCTGCGTAAGGAGGAGGCGTGAATTCGCGCAGCGTCTTTACACGAGGGGGGCCCTGCCCCATATGGTCAGTTTCCTTCTCAGCCTCCTTCTCCTCCTCTCTCCGCCCCTCTTTCCTCTTCTCTTCCCCCCTCCTCCCGCGCCAGCCGCGGCGAGGCCTCGCTGTCGTCGCGGCCAACGCAGGCGGGGCGTGGAGCCCCATCGGCGACGTGACCACCACGATGCTCTGGAATGCCTCGGGGGGAACTCGCAGGGGAGCGTCGACGAGCAGGCGGAGGAGGACCAGCGCAAATCCAGGACTCATCAACGATGTTGCAAGCAATAAGCTCTCCCTCCAGATTTTCTGTCGAATGTCAGTACAACAATTATTTTGCATTGCTGGAAGTGCCACGTTGAAAGCAAGCGTCTGAGAATCCTCAACAACACCAAAACAGCATTTCCAGGATGTCAACGCCGCGAATCAAAGCGGCCCATGCGTCCTGGGGATCGTGATTCGCACCACACCGCGAATCGACGCGACTGCTGATCCTGACAGTCCCCAATCGTGCCCGAACGCCATTCTTGGGATGTCAATTGTCAGAACTGTTGGACCAGCTGGGAACTCTTAATACGGATGAGCGCAGCGCTAAGGCGAGACCCGCAGTTCGAAAATGATTCGCCCTTCATCCATGAAACTCTTGCACGTTTTGAAAGCGCATGCGCGCGGCGCTAAGGCGAGAGCCACATGTTGAGCGCCCCCATCCGTAAGTAAAGCTGCTGCGTTTTGCAAGCAGAATGTGCGCGGCGCTAGAGCGAGGGCCGCATTTTGAAATATAATCGCCCCCCATCCGCGAAGCGGTTTCAAACGTTTACAGCGAATGTGCGCGGCGCGAATGCGAGAGCGATATGTTGAATATGGCTTGTCAAATCAAGCGTCCGTATCATACATGGCGAGGGTGTCTCAGGCGAATTGTCCGGCCAATCCGACCGATGGGGTTCGAAAGGAAGTTATGTGGACGAGGAAGGATGGAGGAGGATGAGAAGGAAAAGACACGAAGAACATCTCCCCTCCTCCCGTTCCTCCTCCCTCGTTCTCCTGCCCCACTTCTTTCTCTCGCCTCCATCATCCTGCCGACGCACATTTGTGTCGCACCGTGTCGCTGGGGCAGGCGTGGCGTTCTTCCTGAGACTTCCTCGCCGCTCATGCCCCCCGGGTCGAAAAAAGTCAGGTGTGTCGCGCATTAGGGGCGGATCCATCATAAACATGAGGCTCTCGCCTTCGCCGCGCACATTCGTTTCACAGTTTCGCATCAGTCTTACGGATGGAGGGCGGTTCGTTTTCAACGTATGGTTCGCGTTTTCGCGCCGTGCGCATTCGTTGTAAACGTTTGAAGCCGTTTCACGGGTGGAGGGCGGGTGATTTTCATGTTGTGAGCCTTGATGTCGCGCCGCGCACATTCGTCTTGAAATGTTGCACCAGCTTCACACATGGAGAGTGGTTCGATTTCACACTGTCGCTCTTCCCTCGGCACTGTGCAAATTTGTTTGACCAAAGCAGGCGTCCATCGATTCAACCATGGAGGGCGGCGTCTGTGCATGGCATGGCTTTCGCGACAGTGCCGCACACGTAAAGTATTCGGTATACGTCAAGTCCAGGGCGTGCTGTTCTGACACGGATTGGAATTGCTCGGACGCAGTAGTGGCGTTGATGCGAAGTATTTAAGTCGCAGGGATGGTGTTCTCTCTCGGTTTAGGATTGTTGGGACAACAATCACGCTGATCCGCGGCGTTGAAGTCCCAGAAACAGTGTTCTGGAACGATGCAGGATTCTCAGACGGTTTCTTCTAATTGGCCACATCGCGTAATGGAAATGACTTATTCCAGTGACCGGTGAAGAGGGAGCTAGGAGGGAAGGTTTATTGCAAAATCATTGGTGCGTCGTGGGTGTACAGAGGTCCTCCTCCTCCCTCCTTTCTCTTCCTCGTAGGGTGCGTACATTCGTGCCTCATGGGAACGCACGCAGCCCTCCTTCCTCGTCCTCTGGCTCCCTCCTCTTGCCTCCTTGTGATGCTTCCTCCTGCCTCCTCCTTCTCCTCCTCCTCCTCCTCCTCTTTCTTCTCCCTCTCCTGCCGTGCGCCGAGTGTCCATGGCCGTTCTCTTCCCTGGGAAGCGGCGGCGGGAGCAGCATTTTGTCATAATGGCCGTGCTGGGGTATTCTCGGTTGGGTGAAAAGGCAAACCAGGAAATCCAGCCGCCAACCGGGAAATACGGCCTCGAACAGAGACATTGTCCGTTTTTGAACGGACAAACTCTGCGGACGCGACCAGGAGGTTTTCTTGCATGAGCGAGAACATTTCCTTGTGGCTGCGGTTGAATACAGGGTGGTTCTTCTCCAGCATTAGTTTCGGTGTTCGTTGCGTATCGGGAGTGTTTGGTTACTCGGTCGTTGCAAGGAGGTATTTTCGGACTCCCAGCTCCTCTTCTCTGGGAGGGCATGAGCCCAATCTACTGTTTTTTTCATCCTTCCGATGTCATGTTGTTTCTTCTTCGTCCGACCAGCGTGTAATTATATTTCTGGTGCGCTTTGGTGTGTTCCTGTGCTTCTGACTGAACGTTCGGGGTTGAGGCCTCATCCTATGCCTTCGACTTGTGGTAGTTGCAGGTGTTCTGGGCTTCTTTGGGGGTCGGGGAGTGTACTTCAACCTTCTTTCGCCGCGTTGAGGCTCTCTGGGGGTGGCGCTTCATCAGGCTGTCTTCGGTACCCTTTGGCCTGCCCTGGGATGTAGATCCAGGTGCGCGGCTGCTCGGCTGTCCCGCGCGGAAGTTCCCAACAGTAGGGCTGGCGAGTCTTGTGAGATCCGGTTCCTACATTGTCGTTGCCTTTTTTGTTTCCCTGTCTGGTATGTGGTCGTCAGCATTTGTGTGTGTGTGTGTGCTAATTTTCCCTTGATGCTTTTTCTTTGTTCGTATGCCCTCGACATCTGCTGGTTGCGGGTGCCTGGAGTTCCTGGGCGGTCCGGGGGTGTACTTCGCCCCTGCTTTCGTCGATTTCTGGTTTTCCAGAGGCTTCAATCCATGTGTTTGGAGCATTTTGCAATTCATTCACGCAGCCCTTGCGGTTGTAGTGCAGTCGAGCCGGAACAGGCTGCTCGCGCTTGGTGTGCACTGGCCAGGTGTGTTGATGCAGCTCCACTCGCGGTGTAATTATGGCCGCTGTGTCATTGTGTGTTTTGTTATCGTCTAGCACGGTTGTCGTCGTCATCGAGGTGCCGTTTTGAATTCGCATTATCGATTCCCGTGTCCTTTGCGAATCAGCCCCATGTCTGCAAGTACTCTGCCGATTTCCACGGCCCCCGCTCTGATATTGAGAATTCGGGCTGGCCGAAATTGTCTCGCCAAGAGTTGGGTTCCCGAAGTTAGGACAGGCGGTTTGTATGGAGGTGTATCGTTGGGGCTCACGGGGCAAGCTCGGGATGGACGTCTCCCTTGACTCATTCAGTGTTCCGTTGAATATCGAGACAGGGGGGCTTCTAGGGGGGGAGTCGGACAATGGTTTTTGTTCACTAATGGGCGCTAGATTTCAGCGGCAGCGACTCGGCCAGACCTTCATCAAGGCTTTCGGGCCTCTCCATGTGCTTGGAGGTTCCCTCAAGGAGCGTCCCGAAATGTCCTTGCTCGCCAGACGAAAGTTTCGCCGTTCGCTTGGGTGGAGCTTCCTAGCTCGCCTTGCCAGAACGAGGATGAGGATGAGGAGGAGGATGTGGATGCAGATGATGATGACGGTGATGATGAAGATGAGGATGGTGTTGATGATGGTGATGATGATGGTGATGATGATTATGATGATGCTGATGATGCTGCTGATGATGACGATGATGATGATCATGATGATGCTGCTGATGATGATGATGATGTTGCTGATGCTGCTGATGATGAGGAGGAGGCGGAGGCGGAGGCGGAGGATGATGATGCTGATGACGACGACGACGATTATGATGATGCTGATGATGATGATGATGAGGAGGAGGAGGAGGATGATGCCGGTGATGATGATGGTGGTGATGATGAAGATGATGATGAGGCTGGTGCGGGGGTCTGTGAGTGTTCGAGTGAGGAAGGGAAGGCGGAGACACGATCCCGCTCGGGGTGCGTGCAGAGGAAAACATAGCCCTACTTTGGAAATGATGATTTGAAATTACGTTGATCTTGATTGAGCCCACGGACGAACTCTCTTGAATCTCCTCCCAGCCCCCCCCCCCCCCTCGTCGATCCCCCCTGACCCCCCCCTTCCCACCTGGATCCCCCCTCGATGCCCCTCGATGCCCCGCGATACACCTCAATGCCCACGCCCCACATCCTGCTGCTGCTGCTGCTGACGACGAGGATGCTGATGATGATGCTGCTGCTGATAATGATGATGCGGATGATGATGATTATGATGACGAAGATGATGACGATGACGATTATGGTGATCATGATCACTATGATGATGATGATGATGACAACGATGCTGATTCTGATGATGCTGTTGATGACGATGATGATGCTGATCATGATATTGATACTGCGGATGACGAGGAGGATGATGATGACTGTGCTGATGATGGCAATGGTCATGACGATGATGTTGATGATTATGGTATGTTGGTGATGATGATGATGATGATGATGATGATGATGATGATGATGATGATGATGATGATGATGATGATGATGTGTAGGAAGAGGATGCTGATGATGATGGTGGTGGTGGTGGTGGTGATCATGACGATGGCGATGGTGATTCTGATGCTGAGGATGAGGATGATGGAATGCAGATGATGACGATAAGTATGATGATGATGCTGGTGGTAATCATTGATGGTGGTGGTGGTGGTGTCAATGGTGATGATGATGGTGATGCTTCTGCTGATGATGATGGTGACGATGATGATGATGATGATGATGACGACGAGGAGGAGGAGGAGGAGGAGGAGATGAATGAGGAGGATGGTGATGATGCGTTCTTCCAGTGCGCCCGGATACAAGGGCGGTTGACAGCTAGGGTACTGGCTCGGGCGGCTTTCGCCTACACCGCTCAGTATCCTCGCTCCAGAAGCGCGTTCGAGCTTGACCCCTCCCCCCCCTGGGGGAGGAACCCTCCCTCGATCCCTCCTGCGATCCACTCTCGATGCCCCCCTTCTGTGTGAATCGAGTCTAGAGGCCTGCGTTTTCATATACCAGTGCCCAATTCGACTCCCTGAGCTTGAAGGTCACGAGCATGGGTCGTAACCATTTTGGCTCAAGACCTACCTTCTACCCATTCCTCATCACTCATACC